CAACCTTTTTGTGGAACAACTACTGCTGGTGACAGAACTGTTCTTAAAACTCCAAACACATCATGTGTTCCAGGAAAATCTATAGGCCATAATAGAAATTCATCTTACACATTGAGTCCTAATGTTTCATCCATCTCCAGTAGGTTGACAAGTCAGTTCAAAACGCCAACTTTGGTGCAAACATCAAATGCAAATCAGTGCAGGACTCAGTTTCGCACATACAAAATACCTGGTAATTTGAGCTTTAAAACTGTGTCACCTTCAGGATCTGAAACTCCAGACACTTCCAGGCTAAATGCATCGTCATCTATGAAGAGCACCCCACCTCTCTGCAAATGTGGCCGTAGGGCCAAGCGTCGTATGGTTCAGTCACCTGGACCAAACATGGGTCGTTTCTTTTTCACCTGTTCAAGCAGGCAGGATGGTGATGATACAAGAAAGAAAGGCTGCGGTTTCTTTAAATGGGAGAATTCCACACATTTGGAGAAATCATTCTCACACAATAATTCCAGAAACTTGACAGTTAATGATAGTATGAACAACCAATCCTTAGGTGTGACAAATAGGAAAAGTCTTGGTGTCCGATGTTCAGTAAGAGTATAATCTCTTAGTAATGTATGCCCTACTGTAAACATAGACCCTGATCTGCCATTGCTGAATGCACTGGAAGATTGGGTCCTGCCATACTTTGCCTTGTTGGCTCTCCATTATTTTAACTGATATTTATTCTCACAGCTAATATGGTTACTGGGAATATCATAGTAATGACCCTGCTGACTCCTGGAGGCATTATTATGATATATTTTTATCTTGACCTCTTCCTTGAAATGCAAAATAGAATGAGGCATATTGACACTGACATGTCTTTGAAATGTGCAATGGCAGATGAAGTATTTATAATGTTTCCATTAAGCCTTAGTTGAATCAAATTATTCTTGAACTGCAGGTTTACTATGAGATGGCCTGATATGGGTCTTTGCAGATGGATCTAGATGTCTTTGATGTACATCTTGAGTCTTATTAGACGAATCATCCATAAAAAGTGGCCCCAATTTTACTAACATCTCAAATCTGCTTCCTTTGAGAAAAGTTTGATGATTCGCTCAAAATCTGGTGAATTTATTAGCTCTTGGAAGAAAATCCCAATTGTAAAATTTAAAACGTGTTATTATTTTAAATATTTCACTAAAAAAGTTTATTGTTTCTACTAAAAAAGGAGTTTGTCAAATATGTGATAAGAAAGATAATGTAAAGTTTCAATTAAATTTGCATACTTTGATGAAATCTGGGTCAGAATTTCATATATGAATGGAATTTACAGTGAAAACCCAGACATAACCGGGTGTGAAAAATTTCATTAATTTCCATGCTTGCATGGAAAGATATCACAAAATTAGAATTTTGTCTTTTTTTTTTTTTAATACAAATGTTGTCTAGTTGTGTAAAAAATGTGCCAGTAAAATAACATTTTTAGCTGTTCAGAATATTTGGGCATAGGAATTTGTGCTCCCTTATGACTGGTAGGAGAAATATTTTTGTTGCAACTTCATTTGCAGTTTAGAAAGGTCAATAAGATTGCATCAAACTGTTTTAATGCATCTATGTTTTAATAACAGAGCTAATGATATGCCTCATTTAATTAATACTGTCATAAATTACTATATGGCTATGCATTTAACAATGGGTTAATGATAATATTAGTTATATCATATATGGGGCTATTTTTTACTACAGTAAATGCATTCCAAATAGCAGTAAAAATGGGTGCTGTGTTTTTTTAAAAATGTTTTTTTTACTGCTGAAGAGATCAGGTAATAGTGTATCATAAGATGGTTTCCAATTTGTTTTAATGAAAATATGGGGGAAAAGACATTATTTAGTGGTGCCTCCAAAATGCTGATTATTAAACCATGCAATTTTTAAACAGCCATCTATGTGAAGTAGAAAAAGTAACCTTTGAGGCCAGTTGATTGCCCAATACAAGCTTGTTACTGTAATTTGTTCACTGGGAACTTGAGGCTATAACTGATGAGACAGGTAATTACTTTGAGGTAGCTTCTCTGATTAGTTTTTACCTTATGAACTCTTTTTATTGACATGAAGACCTTTAAAGACAGTAATAAATTGCTTTTAAATAGCACTTATATAATAATTTTTACAGATATGAATGTTCTAAAGTTTTATAATTTGTGTACCCCATGATGACAGTGGTAGGTGTGTCAGCGTATGTCATGTCACCCGCGTCTGTCTCTGGCTATTACACCTGTGGCAGATTTTGTATTTGGGTCATTTTGGGCACTGTGGTGAGGTTTCCAAGTTACAGGAATGTTTACATTTAGTTTTTAAAAGTTACTACTTCAACTTGATATGTCTATAAAATTATAGACAAAGAAAATTTGCTCATTGAGTAAGTTATTGCACATTGCTGCAATGACCAAAAAGTCGTTTACATTTTATGCGTTCTGGAAGACTAACAATGGACATCTGGACAACTTTCATTTGCTGTAGTCCATTATTTTGTCTCTGAAATTGCTACACCACAGAATTAATTTTGGTGCATGTCCTGCCTTGACAATGGTAAGCCTTATAGTGCCAACATTGTCCATAAGAACCATTTTGCTTTGTGAATAGGTCTAGTCTGGGGTACATTTCTGTGTCTATATATACTCACAGTTCTTAGTTTCTGATTTGAGTTGCATCACAGGTTCATGTACTGCTTGAGAAAAAGTGGCAAGAGAAATGTATTTTAAAACAAACCTTGAAAAGTTTTATTTTATTTTAATCTGTATAAGTGGCATTGAATATGCTTCATCCCAATCCATGTATTATAAAGACTCATCTTTACAATGTCTGGCTAAATTTGACTTTGAGTTAGAAAACTGTGATCATCACGATGCAGACTTACCTTTATTTCTTTAAATATTCCTTTAGAGATGAAGAATATTGTTAAACAGCATGTAACAGCATTTGCTACACCTCAGGATGTATGCATATAATAGCATTTTACTACACCTCAGTATGTATGCATGCAATAGCATTTTACTACACCTCAGTATGTATGCATGCAATAGCATTTTACTACACCTCAGTATGTATGCATGCAATAGCATTTTACTATACCTCAGTATGTGTGCATATAATAGCATTTTACTTCACTTCAGTATGTAGGAATATAATAGCATTTTACTACACCTCAGTATGTATACATGTAATAGCATTTTACTACACCTCAGTATGTATGCATGTAATAGCATTTTACTATACCTCAGTATGTGTGCATATAATAGCATTTTACTTCACTTCAGTATGTAGGAATATAATAGCATTTTACTACACCTCAGTATGTATACATGTAATAGCATTTTACTACACCTCAGTATGTATACATGTAATAGCATTTTACTACACCTCAGTATGTATGCATGTAATAGCATTTTACTACACCTCAGTATGTGTGCATATAATAGCATTTTAGTTCACCTCAGTATGTATGCATATAATAGCATTTTACTCCACCTCAGTATGTATACATGTAATAGCATTTTACTACATCTCAGTATGTATGCATGCAATAGCATTTTACTACGCCTCAGTATGTGTGCATATAATAGCATTTTACTACAGCTCAGTATGCATGTAAAGCATTTTACTACATCTTAGTATGTATGCATATAATAGCATTTTACTCCACCTCAGTATGTATACATGAAATAGCATTTTACTACATCTCAGTATGTATGCATGCAATAGCATTTTACTCCACCTCAGCATGTATGCATGCAATAGCATTTTACTACACCTCAGTATGTATGCATACAATAGCATTTTACTACACCTCAGTATGTGTGCATATAATAGCATTTTACTACACCTCAGTATGTATGCATGTAATAGCATTTTACTACACCTCAGTATGTATGCATATAATAGCATTTTACTACACCTCAGTATATATGCATATAATAGCATTTTACTACACCACAGTATGCATGTAAAGCATTTTACTACATCTTAGCATGTATGCATATAATAGCATTTTACTACACCTAAAGAAAGATTAGCTGTTCAAAATAATACAGACATGAATTACAGTAAGATAATTATAAAATTCAAAAATTAAATTTCTGTAAAATGTATATAAATAAAATACAAGGATAACACCATTTCTGATAATATTTTTATGTGCATATATTCTCTTGTCAGTATGTCTCTAACATGAATAATTTATCGTTACTATACCTCACACATATTTATGTAAATTACCTTTATTGGAATAAAGTAATTACTACCCTTGAGGCATGGCTGCCATGCAGTAATCTACATTTCTCTCAGTCTTGAGATGAAGTATATGACTTTGTGGGTTATCAGTAATTAATCCTAGGTGTATTCAGTATCTGGTACACCAGTTATTATGTGATCAATATCTACGGGTGTTCTTTCAGATTAGTTATCAGCATCATTACACAAATGACCCCATCCCCCTCACTTTGGTTGAAATCGCATTGGAGTTAATGTGCATATGCTATGTTTTGTGATCTGATATTTTATAAATTTAAATGATCATGGTTGGGTTTTTATCTTGTATGTAATTTTGTACCTAATGAATCACAAAGTTAATAATTTGAAATTAAAAGGTAATATGTCATGGGTGAAGGACTATTACCTTATGAATAAAACGAAGTTCAGAAAGTTTACACAAATTTAGGACAGTGGCTGTTTACAAATTTATCTCCTACATGTAATACTTTTGTGCATGTGTGTATTTGTGTGTGATTTTGATTTTTAACATAGCTTTTAAAAAATTTTCAGCCGTATCGATATGATGTCTGTGGTAATGAGAGTTTATAGTAATGTCTTGGGCATCATGCTGCAGTCATTCAGCATGATGTCTCACCCAGTCACATTATCCTGACACCAGGCCGACCAGACCTAACACTAACCTCTTAATGCCGAGTGCCAAGCAAGGCAGTTGTTAGTTCCATTTTTGTAAGTCTTTGGAATGTCTTGGATGAGGATCAAACCCATGTCCTCCTGCATCCAAGGCAGATACTCTAACCACTAGGCCACTGGAGCGGTCTATAATACTTTTATACTTTTGTGTACTTTGCCAAATAACTTTTCAGGTGACATAGAAATTGTTTTTTTTGATAGTACATTTTTTTGTGCAGATTGATACAGTGAAGTTTAATGGAGTTGGGTACTGTAGAAACATCACAAAGCGATTCGATCCAACACACTTCAGAGCATAGCATCTCTAAACAAAAATTTTTAAAGATTGAAAGTTACTTGAATTTTTTTAAAAAAAAATTAAAATTTATTTCTGCATTGAAAGGTGGATTGTGGAGCTTTAACAAGTTATATAGTTTGCTAATTAATGATGTACCAAATTGGATTGTCTCGTGTGCTGTAAGGGTAACACTGAATATCAAATGGAAACAGTTCATGTAAAAGTTCTGTCACTGAGAATTTGCACCATTCAAATGGAAAACTATTTTTGTAATGAATACTAAGTCCAGTTTTTGTTGTTTGAATTTCATTTTTGGCAGTTTTAGGCATCCCATTATTGCTCACATAAATATAGTATTGAGATATAAGAAAAAAGAGAAGGAAAAATGAAATGTGCCTAAATCCCAAAATACAAGTGTGGGCATATATTGGGCAGATATATCTCCAGAACAGGAAAGAAAGTAGTTTCCATAATAATATTACCACAATGGTGATAATAGGGGTATTACCATTGTAGTGATGTTAATTTTCTCTGATATATTTCATTGTCTTATTTTAAAATATATAATAAATTGAAAATGTCTGCTTGATAATAATGAATATATTTATTTGGGTGAAAATACTGTAAGAGCCAGTTCATGGTTAAACTGACCTTATGGCATAAAATTTTGATATTTATATTTTTGCATTTTTATGATAAATTGAAACCATAACATCGTATATTTTAGCACCATAGTTTTTTTAAAATTATCAATAAGCTTGAGGTGGATTTTTTTACAGCTTTCACAATGCAATGTCATGACATTAAGGTTTCTTTACACAAACATTGTAATAGTTAAATTGTTGCATTAATAGAACAATTTCTCATTCAAGCTTGTTTCTTGGCATGAAAATGTTTTTATTTAGTACTGAAGTTTTAGTTAACCAGGTTCAATATTTTATGATATAGCTTTGATAACAGCAATTGTATTTTTTTAACTGTGTTAACACAGAGAATGGTCACAACAGACGTTCATTTTTTTCAGCTTACTAAGGAATTATAGGACATTTCTCACAAAATATTAATATATTTTGTGTATATATATATATATATATATATATATATATATATATATATATATATATATATATATATATATATATATATATATCCAAAACATCTGGCTTGTCAGCTTTTGAATCCTTCTTTAGGTCCACTGCATTCATGTCAGAAAGATATAGTTCTGTTGTAGCAATAAAATAATCTATCACTCCGGGGGGCCCTAAATGGTTTAAAGCGCTCTCCATTAGGGATCACTGCCATCTTGCCTCTGTCTGCGTGAGTTCGAGTCTAAGATTCAGCAAATGTGGATATGTGAGAAAGCTTGCCTGTACCTTCTCGTGGGTTGGTGGTTCTTTCCGTAGATTTCCCGGTTTCTTCCTCCACCATTAATACTGGCCGCCATATATAGCCTATCATGTGCTGAAAAATGGTGTTAAGCCCCACAACAACAACAACAAAAGTATCACTCCCTTTTTCTGGCGTCTCTCTGAGACTTTGTATTCATATAGCTTGAGAGGATCTTGAACTCCAAGATGGATTGATATCATGTCCACATTAAATTCTCCAGCTATCAGAGGTGGTAAATGAGACTTTGCATGAATTTCCTTAACATATATCATTAGCTATCTGAACTCAGTTACTTTTTTATTGTAGGTCTTGCTGGCATTCTATCCATATCAGGAAATACAGTTGAATTCAGTAACAGATACACCATTTGTCCTAATGACTTGAAGAGACATTTTAAAAATAGTATCAGATCTCTAGGAATCAGTAATAAATGCTTGCTTGCAGCTCAAATATGTTCCTCTAGAATTCTTTGGAATTTTGTCATTTGGTTTTTCTTCACCAATTAATTCATTAATATTGTACAAAATATTGGCATCATTATTTCCAGTAAGTTGGTAATGTTCTGGACCTGGGTCAGTTGACCATGTTAGTCATTGTATTTATTTCCATGAAATTCTTGATCATGTTCTGGCTTGTGCCTGTTGAAGACATTTTGTATGGCCTGCTTTCTCGTCTTAGTCTCTTCAGCTTGACTGGGCCCTGAAGTATTTATTAATATAATCTAGAGGAAGTGGTATTGGATGCACACTTCTAAATCTTTGAAGTTCCTCCAGAATTATTTGGAGTTATGTTATTGGTTTTTCTTCAGCTTTTTGATTTATTAATATTACACAAACTATTGTAATATTATTTCCAGTAAGTGTTCTGGAAATGGATCTTATTTCTCCATGTATTTCTTTGCACAAAAATTCTTGAGAAAGAACAAGGTCTTGCTTATGTCTGCTGATGACATTTCTATGAACCTGTTTGTTTCTTTTTTTTGGTACAGTCCTTTCACCTTGATTGGAGCCAGATGAATACAGTATTAATACTTTTAAATCCATTCTGACTGGAAGGAACAGTGCTTTTTTGCTACAATTTTTATATATTCTGGCTTTGAGCTAATCTTTGGCCTTTCAATTTTGCTGCTGTTTTTTGTTGTTGAGGTCACCTATAGCATTGCATCTTTAACCAATTTTTTGAGTTTTCATTTGTCTTCTTACCTTATTGACATACTACTTCGGTCTGAAACAATACAAGGAGTACATTTTACTTGTATTGAAAAAACAAGATCATATTATGAAATAGTTTTAATATGTAATATATCTGGAGGAATACTGATAACAAAAGATTTTTTGCCCATAATTTTTTGGAAAATGATGCAGATTATGTCCTCTTGTTATTCTCATTGTGCATCTCCAGCATTGTTGAAGTCTTGGGGAATGTGATTGGTGGTGGTTTCTTGATGTGTCAAGTGGTTCTCTTATCTGACATCTATCTATTTGATAGCACAAGTTTATTATCACTACTCCTCCTAAGCTACTCGGACGGATGCCTTGAAACTTTAAATACACATTCATCCCTTGGTCTGTAAGGTCCTAAATAAAAATGGTGCTAATCTGACATCCATTATGGCTGCCACAGTGGCCATCTTGAAAATCTTATTATAGCTACCTCTGTGAATGGATAGTCTTATCAACACTGACTACATATAGTGTCTAATTGGTCCTAAATTAAAGGTGTAAATCTGACTTCAGAATTTGTTGTTGCTACTCCTCTTGAATTAAATACTTCTTACGATGTTTAGTTGATTCTAAATAAAAAGTCAAATGGTCAACATTAGTTGCTGATGAAGTCAGTGCAATATTTTCAAAAATGTTGAATTCTTAAGATATTTATGCTATGAGTATGGGAAATTACCATTGATCAGCAGGTAAAATATGTCCTTGTTTGCACTTGGATAAGTTCCCAATCAGCATTATTGTAAAAGTCGATAAGGGTGTATTTCTTAATCTTCTCCATACTCCATTCTCCGATGAGAATATGGAGTTCAGTAAAACCATTCATCTCCTCCAGGTTTGTATCTGTCAACTGCTGTTCTCCTCTATGCTGCTGGGCTGTGTAGCTATTCTTGTCTGCCTGTAAGTGGAAAATGTCCTCCATCAGCAAATAAAAATAATCCAGTGGCGTAGAATCTTGTAGCAGAATTGGTTGTCAATTTGCTTCAACAGTAGCTGATGACCAAACGTAATCAGTTGAACATGTGGGCTGAATCTCCAAATTACTCATTTCAGGACCTGTCTCACGCCTCTTCCCCTTAAGTTATTTTTTAACTCGGAATTTGAAACCCAGTGTAGCAGTGGTTCAACATGTTAGCCTCTTCACTTTAAAGCCTGAAACACTCAATTTGTTGGAGGATTCTGTTCTGACACTTTTGCATTCAAGAAATATAATCTACTTGTTCTAATTAAAATAGTTTGATCCAATTGCTCCATATTTCGTACTTGTCATTCTCTTGTGTCATTTTGAAAAGACAAATAAAAAGAACACTTATTGAAATATGTATGTAATATTTAATCTGCAGTTTTATATAGAATATGAAAATTATCAATTGATATGTACCAATATTTTGCTGATTAGAGATCATTGTTAGGAAAGTTTCACAAATATATGTAAATTAAAATTACATTTTGAGCCAACCTGATTTTAAATTCAGCTAAAAAGTAAGCTTAAATAACATTTTAGAACAAAAATTAGCACAATAAACATTTGCCTCACCAAAATCATTGTGAAAATTTGAGATCTGTATAGATTGAAATGTCAAAGAGTAGCTATATATTTTCTTGATAATGAACAGTATAGTAGTATATAGTGGCATATTGTTTTAAATAACTGTTTCAAACTTTAATTTCTAGTTGCTTTAGGACTGTGTCATTGGATAGTTCACTCCAAGCTAGAAATTAATTGAATTTTGAAAAATTTCAGTTAGGTATTTTAAAAACAATGTAAAACACGAACTGATGATACCAGACCAAGTCTTAATCATTGACATGTTTATCCTGCCTATGAGAATGATAATCAGCCTGGTGACCAAGACTAACTTAAGGTATATTAATAATAATAATGAGGACTTTGTATAGCGCCTGATCTGATTATGTGAAAATGATATCACATTCACCATATTTTCTTGTCAATTTCTTTGAGGATTTGATGCTTCTTGTTCCCCACCCATTTGTGTAAATGTATTGAGTTTAGTTTGTCTTCCCACAATGGTGGTCATGTATTCATACCATAGTGGTCACTAATGTTACAGAAGAATATCCTCAAGTTTGCAACATATTTATAGGTTCAATTCAAACTTGAATTTGTATGATTTGTTTGGTCTACTGGCAGTTGTTAAATATTCTTTCCTATTTGTAAATACATTAAATGCAGTTTGAATTATCTTGTATAGTTTCTGCTGTGCTCATATGAAGTC